AGGTGACGGGGGATGATACGGGTCTTCTTGTTGTCGCGGGCAGCGTTTCCAGCCAGCTCCAGGATCTCAGCGGTCAGGTACTCCAGCACAGCCGCCAGGTAGACGGGGGCTCCGGCTCCGACGCGATGAGCATAGTTACCCTTCCTCAGATGTCTGTGGACACGGCCGACAGGGAACTGGAGCCCGGCACGAGAGGAGCGGGTCTTAGCCTTTGCTCTGGCTTTTCCGCCGGTTTTGCCTCTTCCACTCATTTTTAGATGTACTTTCGAAGTCGGTACAAAATAAAGTACTAATTCGACCGAAGAAACCCTCCTTTATATGTTCGAGGAGCGCGGGATGGTTCGCAGCAGAGGGCGGCACTTTTTGAAAGGATTTTCCTCCAATAAGCGGCGGATTCTGGCAGAGTGTCGCTCCTCTGGGCGGAGCTGAGCTCCAAAACGAGCCTTGACCAATTAGAAGTCGAAGGACTGAAGCTGCGTCACCATTTCACAGCCGGTTCCAAAGCTTAATATAAATAATGAGGCGAAAGTAGCCAGCAAAATAATAGGAGGGTTAAACAAAGCATTTTGGAGCAGTATTGTAAACAATTCACAATACAGAAGCTAATGAGCTGGCTTATTTAGTACAGGGAGGAATGACCACAGGCCATAACACTATTACACACCTAAGCTATGTAAAGAACATCCATAAACATTCATCTGTTTGCATCTTGCAAATTATGTATATATCATATTCCATTTACTTGTATATAGACTCTTCTTGCAATGTTTCTATTTAAAAATAGAAACATTGCAATAAGTTTGCATTTCTGTGAGTGCCACACTCCTTCAAGAGTGACAAGATTAGAAATATATTAAAAATAAGAGAGAAGACTTACTTTTGGTCTACCCATGGTATATCACATTGCTTGCTGATGTCTTTTCCTTTTTTTTTTGGAAAACTTTATTTTAAATTATTTGGCAATACATGATATACAAAAGTTACATTAATAATACACATAACACACAATGCATAAATATATAAATAACATAAAGAGAGCACGTTTATATTCCAATGAGACTCAGTTCGGTCACAGACTCAAAATGCCCCATGGCTGAGTCTGGGGTTTGTCCAGGGTTTTTCTTCTCCTTAGTTCAGTAAGTATTTGTTTCACGATGGTGCCACTGTTTATTATCGTCTGATTTAGTATCATCTTGCACCTTGTTTTCCAGATTTTCATACATGTTATACAAATGACCAGCTGAAAAGCTGGTCATTTGTCATTTGTATAACAGCGAGCTGAGTCTGAATAATGTTAAAAACAGCCTGGCCATAGATGTTAAGGACTAACACATTTATAATGAATACATTTGAATTTATGTTAAGATCTTAAAATCATACATTTTGTCATCCAATCTGTTTTGATTCTAAAACTCGTTAAGCGCATGCTCCGTCCTGCTCAGAAGACAACCAATCCCGTGGGAGCAACAGCACAGTCATATTTGCATTTGGTGAATATAAAGAGACCGCTCTGTGTCAAAGAAACCATCCGACTGTCCAACCTCACTCTCGAATCATGCCTGCTGACGCACCCCCCGTTAAAGCGGCCAAGAAGGGCTCAAAGAAAGCCGTCGCTAAGACCGTCAGCAAGACTGGAAAGAAGAGGAGAAAGTCCAGGAAGGAGAGCTACGCCATCTACGTTTACAAGGTGATGAAGCAGGTCCACCCCGACACCGGTATCTCCTCCAAGGCCATGGGCATCATGAACTGCTTCGTGAGCGACATCTTTGAGCGCATCGCCGGTGAGGCCTCTCGTCTGGCTCACTACAACAAGCGCTCCACCATCACCTCCAGGGAGATCCAGACCGCTGTCCGCCTGCTGCTGCCCGGAGAGCTGGCTAAACACGCCGTGTCTGAGGGCACCAAGGCCGTGACCAAGTACACCAGCTCCAAGTAAACTCAAACCTGACACACCGCAAACAACGGCTCTTTTAAGAGCCACCCAACCCATCCAAAGAGTTCATCCTGTTATACTCTAGAACTACTATACCAGAAATCTAAATAACTTATTACACTAATGTACAAATGTTATTTATACAGAATGCTTGGTAAAGCAAGATGAACCATGATTTTATATCGTCCATTCTTCTCCTGACTTAAATACCACCTCATTGGTGTTTGTTTACCAAAATAAAAATAAATACATTTCACAATATGAAGGAAATATGGTGGTGGTTATTTTACTGCAATCCTGAGAGAAAATGCTAAATGGTAATATGTATCTTAGCAAATCTTTAGAGGGGACAAATGAACACATTTATTATTAAATGTTGTCCCTCTGCCACCACAAACTCAAATGTGCTGTAACAACAATCCAAATGATGTTTCTTGCTGACACTTAAAGCCTCCCTTTAATTATTTATACCGGCAATACAAAGTTATGGGGTTTAATAAGAGAAGAGAATCATTTCACCATTCAGTAATGTCAAAAACACAAAAGAAAAATGCTTTGCAAATGCTTGTGAAATAAATAATACATATAAACAACATTCATATGGGCACATACATTTAATATGAACAAGTATGCTATATACCGACATCTTTAACACAAATAAACTCAAATACTTTTATAAGGTGATCTCATTTTACTGCAGAAGATCATGATTCATTTGCTAATAGGTATTCATTTTACGTCTTACACTCACACTAAAAGCTGGTGGGCGAGTTTTTCACTACAAATTAAATCATAGTTATACATTAGAAAATGACAGGGTTAGGGTTATATTATATTTAATCATATTTATTTATCCCTAATCTAAACAAACGTTCATTTTGAGGAGCCCCCGGATCATCCCCTGTGGAGGAGTGGTTTACATTGTCCAATAGTAAAGCAGCTACAGTGCACGTGTCTCCCGGCCTGCACCAATCAGCGCTGCCCTGCTCCGGCAGCTCCTTTATAAACCCGCTGCTCACAGATACACAGCACTCCTTCTCTCGCTGTGAACACTGAGAAACTACAATGGCCAGAACCAAGCAGACCGCCCGTAAATCCACCGGAGGAAAGGCTCCCAGGAAGCAGCTGGCCACCAAGGCTGCTCGTAAGAGCGCCCCGGCCACCGGCGGCGTGAAGAAACCTCACCGTTACAGGCCCGGTACCGTGGCTCTGAGGGAGATCCGCCGCTACCAGAAGTCCACCGAGCTTCTGATCCGCAAGCTGCCCTTCCAGCGCCTGGTGAGGGAGATCGCTCAGGACTTCAAGACCGACCTGCGCTTCCAGAGCTCCGCCGTCATGGCTCTTCAGGAGTCCAGCGAGGCTTACCTTGTCGGCCTGTTCGAGGACACCAACCTGTGCGCCATCCACGCCAAGAGGGTCACCATCATGCCCAAAGACATCCAGCTGGCCCGCCGCATCCGCGGGGAGAGGGCTTAAACTGACCTGAGACCAGAACACAAACACAACGGCTCTTTTAAGAGCCACCTACACTTTCAAAGAGTTACAATCCTACTCATAATTATGATGACAATGGTTCATATTATTTTGGTTGACTGTACAAAGGAAAATGTTGAGGTTGTTGTTTACTGAAGTTACAAAGACATTAATATGTGACTAACAGGTTAGTGTAAACACGCTTATGTCAATTATGGATCATTCAAACTATTTATATACAAATATGTAATGAAGTTCTAAAACCCAAGAGCCACAAGGAATACTTATATTCCTTAATAACTTTGGGGGAAGGTTGTTTTTAAGTTTACATAAAGATAGCGTTACAACTGTTTCACTTGAGACTGAGAACGGGTGAGTAATAATAATAGATTTATTTTGTAACCGCTCTTTCAGTTGCTCAAAGTCGCTTTGCAGAGATGGTGAAAAGAAAAGAACAAATACATATGGTTGAATTTAAAATCAAGCAATATAACAGCCACACATTAAAAGCCAGATTGAAGAGGTGAGTTCTTTGAAGGTGGTGAGGTCAGTATTGAGTTTTTTATTCTGTCAGTAAATTATCCAAATGAAATGTTTTTCATAATTTTAGTCAACCCTAAACTAATTAATTTTAGTTGAATTGATCTACCACCAAGATGTTTGATGCATCAGTAAATTAAGAAAGCAAGTTTTAGATTCATTTCACAACAGATTCAACTATTTCCCTAAAGAATATGACATCAATCTCATAATTGAACAATTGTTATGATGAAAAATATGCTTAAGACTTCCTGATAATTAAACATGTACAAAACACATGTAAGTATTATTGGTGATTTCTATCATATTGTATTACCTTGAAACAGAACTTTTTCACATATGATAAGTTTGTATTAAAACTGTGAGTATATAGGTGTATTTTGTTATTATTAATATAAACTTTAGACTATTTCAATTACACCATGTTCGATTTAGTTCTTTTGTCTGTAATTTAAATAATGAGTCTTTTATGCTTTCCTATAAAAACAGATAAAGCTTAATATTTGGTATCTAGTGATCATCTGTCACCAAGAACTCAGCCTGTCTTATCCAAACATGAGTGTGTTTGCAGATAACACAATAACCTCTATTTCATAAAGATTTAATCATAAAAGCTGTCTGATTTTACTCCAGGTTTCTAAACGAACACTTACTCTCTCCATATAAACAATACAAATTAAGTTATAAAGTATATTAAAGCATTTAGGAGAGAAATTAGAGGAAAAAGTCACCGTGCAGCCCCTCTCATTGCAGTAGTTAGAGCAGGTTTATAGTCTTCCCTATCAAAACACAATAAATGTAAAAACTTTATTTGACTTTTATACGAAGATGAACTTAATCACCATATGTTCAATACAAAATTACCCTCTAACTGTTGATTTAGATATGCTTTTTATACATGTATTGTTGGAGAGAAAACACAAAGCGGCCCAGTGTTCCTGCTGCTCCTGAGAGACGGGCTGAGTTGAGTCTCTACGGTTCTCATGCTGTGTATAAATGCCTTTCTGTTGAGGCTTTTCCATCAGTCTCATTGACTAGTGTTCCTGAGAGCATCATGGCAGAAGAAGTTCCCACCGCAGCACCCGCCGCCCCGGCAAAGGCACCAGCTAAGTCCCCAAAGAAGAAGTCCACCAAGCCGGCCACGAAGGTTGGTCCCGGCGCCGCGGAGCTCATCCTGAAGGCGGTCACTGCTTCCAAGGAGCGGAAAGGAATCTCTTACGTGGCTCTGAAGAAGGAGCTGGCCGCCCAGGGATACGACCACACCACTCACATTAAACGCGCCGTGAAGAAGCTACTGGAAAAGGGATCCCTTCTGCAGGTCAAGGGAACCGGGGCGACCGGGTCCTTCAAGGCGGCCAAACCCGCTGAGAAGCCCAAGAAGGCGGCGAAGAAGCCCGCAGCCAAAGCAACGAAGCCGGCAGCGAAGAAACCCGCCGCTAAGAAGGCGAAGGTAGCAACACCCAAGAAGGCGCAGAAGCCCGCTGCTGCCAAGAAAACCCCCGTGAAGAAGGCCACAAAGAGCCCCAAGAAGAAAGTGGTCAAGAAGGCAGCCACCCCCAAGAAAGCAGCGACCCCCAAGAAGGTAGTAACCCCCAAGAAAGCTGTGAAGAAGGTGGTAAAAGCCAAAGCTGCTAAACCAGCGAAGAAGCCTGCAGCCAATAAACCAGCGAAGAAGTAAACACATCATCTACTTCACTTACAAAAGGCTCTTTTCAGAGCCACCACATACACCAAAAGAGCATTTATCCTGAATGTGGTTAATGATGTAAATATTATTGAAATGTGTGATATTTATTAGTTATACAGGGGACTGGTTACAATATTACGATTTATTGGAACTAAATCAAATCCTAGATCCGTATGTACAGTGGAGATTAAACACTTCATAAAACAGACATGTTTATGTTTTTTATTAAATTGTCACTTAAAGTTACTAAAACATACTCTGGATGAAAAAAAACTACTGAAACAAAAGGACTAACTTAAATGTACTAAAACAAATATCTTTACAAAAACAATTTCCAATTACTGTACTTTATGTTTATTTTACACAATTACTTTATACTGTCTGTCTTTTTAACGCTCTTGTATTGTGCCTCATGAAATAACTGGCCCCTGAACTGCCACTGATTAGTTGACATGTATAAAAGGCAAGAAACCAAAACAAAAACGCATAGATCATCATGATATAATACAAATACCATAAACAATGTAGGGAAGAAATATATAAAAAAAAGGTGGTCAAACCTTTTCATTTGTTGACAATACATGCATTGGTATTTAGTGCATAATGATGTAATCTAGGAGGATCTTTTAGAATACAGTTAATGCAATTATAAATGGCGGCTTTTAGGGCACATGAGAATTCCTTTATTTGTCCCAGACAGGAAAGTTAGAGAATTGTTACAGAAAATTATAGTATAGTATAGTATAGTATAAATGAAATACAGAGGTATACATTCAGGTGGATAAGTGAGTAGCAGCGGCAGTATTTATGTAATTAATTAGTGTAAAACTTGACAATCTGGAGAAAGCTGGACTGTATCATGGAGACCCCCCCCCCCCCCCCATGCAGAGATAGTGAAGATGAGGAGTTCAGCTTCAGACTCATCAGGCTGCACACCCAAGGGCTCACCATCTAACCCGTTAACAGTAACCCATACTCTACACCAGGGGTCGGCAACCCCTGGCACGCGTGCCAGCATTGGCACGCGGCACCGTAGCCGTAGCCGTGTGCAAAATATTTAAATTGTATTTTCGGATCCTGAACGAGACCGCCGCCAGAGCGCGTCTCCCCGTTACCTGCAGAAGGAAGCCATGCACGCAACGCAGCCCCGCTCTCTTTAACTCCAGGTGACTTTCTGCCGCTTTCCTCCGTGGTGCAGTGCTGATCGTTTCACCACGGAAGAAAGCACTTCACAAATTGCAGTACCCATAAGGAGCTTTACAAATGTCGCAGTTTTTGCGTGGCTGTGTGTGTCTTTAGTTGAAAGCCCAGTGGCGATCTGCTCATCTCTCATTGAAATAATATGCTACAAAGGGGCGGACTGGCCATCTGTGTGTTGAACTTTCCTGTCGGCTCCCAGACCGTAGTCGAGGAGGGCAGAAGCAACGAGCTTCAGGTTCAATAACCCACTTTAGCTTAAATGACTGGAGAGAGGCGAGCTCTTCTTGAGAGGCCGTTGCATTTATTTAGCTGTTCTTCTGTTTCACAAAATACATCACAGACCTCTGTTTTTCTGCTGCCTCGTTTCACTTCCAGAAACATACTCACACGCACACGCCACACCCCTCTCTCTCTCTCTTAAAGGGACAGCGATCTCATTTCACTCTGCATGACCCTAATATCATAACATGTGTGTTCTGGAGAATCACAGAACGGACGATCGTCCTTATTATTATGCCGTTTAAACCAATTATTTAAATGTGTTTGTTAAATTCGGTATCATGTAAGTTGCGCTGACAGGTCCACACACTGCTTCCCCGCAGCGAGGCCCCCCCGCCCTCCTGTTGATAGAGCACGAGCGTCAAGCTCCTCAACATCCTCAACACCCCCCCCCCCCCCCCCCCCCCCCCCCCCCCGTTGATAATTCTCGATCGTTGGCACGCTGATAATTTTTTTTTTTTTAAATGGCACTTCATATCAAAAAGGTTGCCGACCCCTGATATAGAGCACATTTTGGAAAGAACTGAGTAAATGTATGTGAATATAAACATTATCTAAAAAGGTAACTACAAGTGTCAAATAAATGTAGTGTAGTAAAAGTACAATATTTCCCACTGAAATGTAATTGAGTCGAAGTACAGAGTAGCAGAACATGGAAATACTCAAGTATATTTCTGTGGTACTTGTACTTTGTGCAGTAATGTAAATGTAGTTGGTTACATTCCACCACTGATCTTAAACACGGCATGTGCTTCGAGCTGAAGCCAACTTAGAACATTGTTTGTTTTAACTGACAAATCCTACTCATTTAGCCTTCAACTTATTTGGAGACGTGAAGGATACTTACTGTACTTTTGAGCCGCCGGCTTTCATCGATACATTTGGCCACTCCCCAACAACTTGGAAATCTGAAATTCAAAGTTGGAGAATTAGGCTGCTTTTACACGGGAACGTTTGCGTTTATGCACAGTATGCGCTTTCAAAAAAGTCTTCCGTTCACATGCATTCGTTTCATTTAACGTGTCTGTTCAAACGAGACCGCTGGAAACGCTGTAGTACATATGCCGGGACTGTAAGTGGCGCTGTAACTTCCGCCAAAATACACCAAAAGCAACGAAGAAGACCCCGGAGCAGCCCCGCAGCAATGTTGCCATGGCTACCCTTCTGTTTACGCCCCGCGATGGATTTAGCAACATGTAGTAGTTAATGTAATTCTCCATGTCCACTTGTTGCTGATGGTTGTGGTAGAGGAGCTGTAGATTTTGCACTAACATCTGTAGCATGGTCGAACTGTAGATGTTGTACTAACATCTGTAGCATGGTCAGTAGCAGTAGCACTAGCAGTAGCTACTGGCCATGCTACAGCAGTGAGCAGGAGAGGTGGGGCTATCGTTATTTTTTCAGGAAATATTCGTATAGAGGCGATTACACGGACTCGTTTGACCCCCCAGAGCGTTTCGTTTGCAAATCTATCCACCTTGGGACCCGTTATCGTTTGTGGGGTCCGTTTGTTACGGCCTCGTTTAAATAATAGGGCTATACACAAGAGAAACTATGCAGATACAAGCCGTTTCGTTCTCGTGTAAATGTGGCCTTAGTCACACAATGAACTTCATGCCAAATATAATTAATCCTGTATACTGTCATTAAAAATCAAAATGTTGCAACTGCCACAAACATTCGCTTGGCTCGGCACCCAGAGTAACGGAGCGTCCACACAGCAAAAAAAATCTTGAAACGCTTCTGCCTATTCACTTTGAATGGGGTGACGTCACTTTGCCTCACTTTTCGCCGAACTGCATTGTGGGCAGCAGAGCGGAGATTTTCAGGATTTTCAGGATTCAAAGTTGAGCAATGTTCAACTTTTGAAGCTAAGGTGGAAGCGTCAGCCAATCAAATCCCGTTTATGCAAATCTGACAGTTCAAGCGCTAGCCAATCAAACCGCCTGTAAACTGGGAGAGACATACCGCAGTTCATTTCCTCATATTCCAAAAAACGAAGGAGAAATTAGCGGTAGGGAATCACCCGGTGCTTTATGACCAGTCCCTATTTACCTACCGGGATATAAACCGGAGGAGCCAGGCATGGAGGGAGGTGGCAGAGACAGTGGTAGGTTTTCGCCTGTTTGGGGAGTTTATATCCAGTTTACTTCTGGCTTTTTTGCTTCGTATGTCGGGGGCGGGAGATTCATGTGATTGGTTGTTGGTCGCGTTGCTCGCAAAAAATCCCCAAGCTTCAGATACGCCCACCTCCAAGATTTTTTTAACGCTGCTGTGTGGACGCTCTGTAACACCCCTTCAGCAGCCGCAGTTGTCTCAGCATCAGCAAATAGTGGCATCTGCGGCGGAAGTACCTGCCACTACCACGATTTAATCTTGCTCTCTCTCTCTGATCATGATAAAGAAACACGTTTTCGGGTGAATTCCGTTTCTATTTAAGAACTGTCTTAAGTGAAGATGTGCTTGTTGAGTGCGTTCCTTTACAAGCTTTAAATAATTCACACTTTGATATTCCTCGCCGACATAATTAACGTAACGACCAGGCACGGCTCCGGCTGACGCAACAGTACAGTGCAGATGGGATTTTATTTTCTTCCAAATAAGCTTTACAATTTAACAAAAAAACAACCCTCAGGGCGTTACACTTGATGAAGTTATTTTTAACAGACTTAGAAGACCTTAACAGACTATGACCTTTTTGGCGTTTGCAACCAGGCTCTCAAATCTTTAAATCAAGCACATTTAAAACACATTTTTTTAAAAGGAGGGAAAAAACTTGTCCACTTGGTTAGAGGTATATAAAGTTAAGCTGACATTACTAATTATAACCACATCAAGCTAAAATCATTAAATACATAACGATTGAGACTTCTACAGACAAAGCTTGAAATTTCACCTCTTTTGTGACATATTCTAACACTTTTGAGTGCAAGGGAACATAATTAAAAAGTAACCGTTAAGCTAGCTGTTAGCTAGCTGTTAGCTAGGCTGCACCGCTTTTCAAATCTATCATCAAAGTATACAGTGGTAGCAGGGAAATCAAAAATACACATCAACTTTCGTATTTCAGGGACCGTTTGTGTATGTTAATATTTAAGAAACTTACCATAAAATCACAGGATGGCACAGGAAAGGGAAATAAATGCGGTTCTGTCATCCACATCTCAAAGTCACAGGATCCAAATGACGCATGTCCCCGGTCTTACAGCGCATGTGCCGAGAAAGTAGGGCAAGCACTTTGGGACAATCAGTGCGTTTTAAATAACTTTACCCTTTAAATACAACACAACATGGTAATGTAATCCCAAAACGTTGAACTTTTACATAAATGCAATTAAAGTCTCTTGATTTAATTGTAAAAAGTGCATTTTGTTAGAAATTAAAATCAATGTTTTATGGCATAATTTAGTTTAAACATACCATCAGTTTAAAAGCTCAATGCCAAGCTTTTATTCTGAAAATCCTTCATCTCCGGTTAGCATTTAGCATGTGGCTAATATTACGTTTTCTAGAAATATGAATGTAAAGTGAAAATGACACGGAGTGTTGCACACCAAAACCTACTGACTTTAACATTACATCTATAGACGTCGAGATATCATTACTGCTGAATATTAAATGAAGGTACAGTTGATTT